TTGTGTCGTGACAGTGACGCCGGGAGTTGTTCCCGCGACAGCGAGTTCGGCCCCTTTAGCCCGTAGCTGGCTCTGTGGCTACCTGGCTGGTCGCTGCGAGCGCCCGACCTTTCTCTTCCTGGACCCTTCACCCCCCGCGACCCTGAGCCAACAGCCGGCACCACGGGCAATGGCGGCCTCGACGGCGTCGCACCGGCCCATCAAAGGGATCTTGAAGAACAAGACCGCTGCGACTTCCTCGGTGGTGGCCTCGGCCGAAGAACCCCGCCGGAGCGTCGAGGAGGAGCTGAGGTGAGAGCCGGAAGGGCCGGTGGGGACGCCCCTGTTTCCGGTCCCCCCGACCCCGGCCCGCTCGTGGCGCTGCTGCCCGGCTGTGGGCCGAGCGATGCACAATGGGAGCAGCGACCTTCTGAAGTCTGTGGACGCGCGTGGATATTTTTAAACAAGCCAGATCTCTGAAACTTTTAATTGTGTACATTTAGGAATCGTGTTAAGTTTCAGAGCTTCAACAGTTAAGATTTTATCATTTCTTATTCTCAGAGATGTCTTAAGGTTCTATAAAAAAACTATTTTCTTGCCTTGGGAATCTCATAAGACTTAAAGTCATGCTAATGGACCTCAAAAACAAACCATTTCCCCATTAAGCATCATTCTGCCCTGACTTCCCTGTTTGTCATCTCTGCACTAAGAGAAACCAAAATTTTCCTAGTCCTTCATTTTGATTTAGTTTTTTTATTGCTACACGATTTTGCTTCTGCAGCTAGTTTTTGGGTGCTTTCTAGTTTTTGGTCCTGTTGAGACATAATCTAAGCTCAGAACAGTTCAGAGAGGGGCAGCCTCAAGATGTTGACTCGAAGCAGTGTGTGCAACAGTAAATAATTGGAAACAACCCAAGGTCCATTAGTGAGAACTGGTGAAACATCATGGTACATTTGTTTAATGGCACAGTGTATCCGCCTTTTGAAAACGTTTGTGCACAGAGGAAGATACCCAAGGTGTGGTGCTTAATGAAAAACACTACTACTAGGTTAGAGGACTCTACATTCTGGAAATAAGGCTTAAGAAAAGTTAGTGAAATTTGTAATTGTGAAACTAAAATAAAGATGATCATGAAATCTTAGAATATTAGAACTAGGGCATTCTGTATAAAGGACCTAAGTTAGGACCATAAAAGGATGTACCACTTGATGGCAAATTTATGGAGATTTGTATTACCTTAAAGAAAATACTAAATAGGAGCACAAGTTAAAATCATGGCCTTTTGAGATTGGGAAGGACCTTAGCTTCTTTGTATAGCAAATCTCCTGCACTCCTTCTGGATGCTTGAATTCTTCGCGCACATGCATTTTCCCACCCTCTATTTGGAGATGCGAAGGATGCCATAGCTGTGGGTCATTGGATTGAAAAAATGGAATTCACCACCGCACAATTGCAGCAGGAAGATTAAGATAATTATGAAGAATAGTGACAGGGGGATCTAATGCCACAGCTACCAATCCCTAATTCATTGAGGTTTGTGATGTTTGGCTGCGTAGTAAAAGGTGGGCATTTTCCTGATTAGTGTTACAAGGCTGTAAAGCAAAGAAACTGTATTAATGATGCAGGATACATTATTAGCTTCAGAGTATTCATGAGCAGGAATACAGTTCTTGCTGGCTTTTATGTTATTTATCCTCAGTGTGGGCTTTTTGTCCCACTACCAAGTGTCATATTCTTTTCCTCTATCCATCTTTGCTTTCTTAGCTTCCACTTACTCCCAGCTTTGATCTGCAGTACCCATGGCCCTATTCTATGGGTTAGCCTCTTTCTGTAATTTACTAGGGTTAAACTTTAGGTCTTTCTGCCTTGGAACCCACTATATTAAACTTATTGTACTAGGAAGGTTGCTTCTTCTATAGGAGCTGCTGACATGGCACATTGATTTAAAGGGGATTGTGGAAAGGTGGGTGAATGGTTGACTGGACTAGTTAGTAGTTTACAGCCTTGGCTTCAAAGAGAGCTTCCAAGCCCTAATTCATTGAGGTTCGTGATATTTGGTTTCAGGTGGTAAAAGATGGGCTTTTAGGCCAGGCAAGTGTCATGTGCCTATAATCCCATTACCTGGGTGAGGGTGGGAGGTTAAGCAGGAGGGTCACTGCTAGTTCAAGGCCGGCCTTGATTACATAGTGAGACCTGTCTCAAACAGCAGCAACAACAACAGAAAGATGGGCTTTGTTACAGGACTGTAAAACAAAAGAACTGTAGTATATTAGTAGTGCAGTATACTTAATTAATGTCACATCTCCTGCAAGCAAATATTAGTAACTTTATGAGAGCCTCTTTAAACAGAAATAAAAACATAGTTGGATACAGGTGAAGCGGACTTTTTGTAACATTTAAGTTAATTTAAAGCTTTTATACCCTCTTGTATAAAAAGGACCAAAAATAAATGGCTCTTGTAATTATAATGCACTTAAAATTCAGGAATTTATAAATGTAGTGTAATGGTCTCATTGGGAATATTGGAACAGAGGATAAAGCAGAGGAGTCTCATATTAATGTGAAAATGACCAAGGATCTTAGCTGATTGTGGTGTCTTGTAATAATGATGTTCTATGAAGTCCTCGGATATAATTTAGCATGGCAATTTAATACTGAAATATGGGATTTGATCCTTGCTCCCAGAGGAGATATGGGATTCCTACAAACCTCTGGTTGTATTTTCATCAGCTGATTAATACGTACCCTTGTTTTCTGTGTTTCTACTTTAAAATATCTTATTTAATATTTTACTGATTGGTTAGCGTTGAACTCCTGGCCAACAGCACTATAACTCATTCCTGAAAGAAGCTTATCTAACACAGGTCTTATCATAGCCTTGCACTTAGGAACACTATACAGTGCCTTTTGTGTGGGAGTCTTTCACTAACACAGATGCACACAGATGCAGAAAATGCCCTAACAGTGTGAGAAATGAAACAAGAAGGCAGAGTGTTGCCATGTTTGTGCTCAGCTGGGAATGTGTGCAGTGGGCAACTCAGATTTTCCCCTGCTCTGTTTTTGTCTGTGAGTGATCACTAAAGACACCTCCAGTATAGATTTGGGGATTATGAATACATTTTAGGAAGTAAATGAATTCCCAGGTAGAGAACCTGCCAATGAAGATGAATCCTATTGATGCCTTTATCAAATTTATTATGTAATATGCACTCGTTTAACCAACTACCCCAATTGTGAGAGGATATTATTTTACACAAAGAGATCTATTAGCCAGGCTTGGTGATACACACCTATAATCCCAGGTACTTGGGAGGGTGAGGCAAGAGGATTTCAAGTTTAAGACCAGACTGAGCAACCTAGCTAGACCCTATCTCAAAATAAAAAGGTCTGGGAATGTAGTTTAGTGCTCCCTAGGCTTAATCCAAAGTACTGAGGCGGGGAGGTATTAAGGGATTTTTTTGGAAGAAAAATTCTAATACTACATTTCATATGTATATATACATACACATAAATACATTCACATGTATACATTCATATACTTGTTATTGTTTTTTTCTCAAGACTCAATGTACATGTAAAATGAAGTTCATATTTCAAATAGTCTTTAACATTTCCTTTTTATTAATTCAGGTCAGAACTGATCAAACCATCATTGGGGTTTTCTTTTTTAAGGTTACTCGAAGTGGTTACTTCTATAGTTGTCTTTATGTTTTGTGTTACTAATGTGTTAGTTTCAGTGAGTGGTCTCCTTGGGTACCATTTGTCAGGTACCATTTCTTTCTTTTTTTTTTTTCCATTTCTTTTTTAAGAGTTAAAACTGGGTAGAATTCATAAGGTCACATATCCGTGCTTAAGCATAGGTAAGTCTCATATTACAGCATGATGTACACTGCTCACCTCATTTGAGGACCAGTGTCCTCTCCTGTGATTGTTTTAGGATACCTCAAAAGTAGTACACAATCTTGAAGGCCAAACCTAATGACCTAGTGTGTTTGTCTATTTCATTGGAAATAAGACACCATTGTCATAAGTTGTACCTCCAAGAAAGGAAAAGGTATTGCCAGTTTTAAGGTGCCATTTTACTACATAGTCTTTTAAGAAATATTAAAGTGTGAAAATATTAGTTTGGGATTATTGAAAATATGATAGTTACTCTAAAGGTGTATCTTATGAGATATATTATAATTAGTGCTTAATCTGGAGCCAGACCCCTGGATTTGGATCCTGTCTACCACTTTGAGCTGCTTTTATTAGCTCTGGTTTTCAGGGAGTTATGCGTTATATCTGTGCCAATTTAAGTATCAGAGGAGTTAATAAGTGTAAAGTGTTTAGTCCAGTGCCTTAATTTGAACTGTTAGTCTTATTGGAATAATGTAGAAATCTTAATTTTTCCCACATTGCAGGTCGTTATAGTTGGGGGGGTTTGTTTTTGGTTTTTTTGTTTGTTTTGTTTTGTTTGTTTTTTGTGGTACTGGGAATCAAACTTGGGACCTTACACTTGTGAGGCAGGTGATGGAACCACTGAGCTAAATCCCCAGCCCTACAGTTGGTTTTTAAGTCTGCTACTCTGTTCAATTAAAATTCTGTGTAGTCTTAGACAAATTTGTGAGCAAAGTCAGCTTTTTAAAAATTATGCTTGAATTAATTTTCTTTAATAAAATTTAAAATATGAGAATGCTTATCTTTTACTGTTAAAGGTATATGGAATATTACAGTCAAAAGGCTCACTAACCCTGGTGTGGTGGGGCATGCATGTAGTCCTAGCACTTGGAAGCCTGAGGCAGGAGGATCGCAAAGATTTAAAGGCCGGCCTAGGGCTGTACAGTGAGTCAAAGGACAGCCTGAATACACAGTGAGATCCTGTCACAAAAAAACAAAACAAAGACTCACCAAGTGTAATACAAAGTTTGTTTTCCAAAAATTGCTTTTTGTTTGTTTGTAGCTGCTTTTATTATTAAGTCCTACTTTAATTGTTTCTGTTTTTTGATGGTGTCGGACTTCAAAGTTTCTTACACCTTAAAAGAAAAACCTGAATCCCCTCTGTGAGCACAACCAAACCTATCCAATAAGCAAGTTACAAGCAACAAGAAGTACAGGTATGTGGTTGAGATGACAGCACATGAGCTAATAAGTACAAGTAAAAAGTGGTGACTTTTCAAGACCAGATTTAGGCTCTAGGAAAACAAGTCACCTAAGAAGGAGGGGGAAACTGAAACCAGCTGGTGCTTTCGACATCAAGCCATCACAGCAGATCTGCTGTGTAAGAGGTGGTGCCCCTATTTTTGTCTGTGGAGATACTGACTCAGACAGGG